ACTTGGCACAAAATTAGTTATAATCCAAAACAGACGAGATGGCAGGTTCGCTTTTTTCTACTTTTGGACAGCTCAAATAAACGCTCACAAAAAACACATCAACAAACTTGAACAAAATCTTAAAAAAAAAAAAAAAACAATTTTCTACATACCCTGGACTTTCTTTTCCATAATTTTAGTGAAAATAGCTAAAATAAAATAGGGCTGCCAAAATTTCACGGATGCATCAAAACAATTAAAATCTTTTGATTCATCTCAGTCAAAGTATATACTATTCAAGTTTTTTAATTAAAATAGTTTTACTTTCCATAAAAAATTTGAATTTTCGTCGAAAAATCGGCTCGCTGGCCCAATATGCAAAGCAAAGTCTCTAGTACTTGAAATACGCCTTTTAAAAATGTAAATTTTTAACAAAACTGAAATTGTGTAAAATACACATAAGTCTACATTTAAAACTTGAAAGCTCTATATAGATATAATTAAAAAACTAGCTTTCGATAAGGCTTTTAATCATAGCTCGCAAATAACTGTTAACACTTTTTCGTTGTCCTCAAATAAGTGTCTTTCACTGACGCAGTCAAAAAAACTCAGACAGAAACTGTTTTTGTCGCGTCTGGCTTAGCTCGCTCGCACTCTTAGGGAGACAGTTATTTCTGTTTTCGTTTCCTCAAGTCAGACACTGATCGTTTGCTTGAGTTAAATGAAGCAAACTGTCAGTTGCGTTTGTATGGGTAATCACGCGCGATTGCAGCGTTCTTTTTGTATGTATGTATGCGTGTATTTACATGCACACGAAGGCAAAAACATTTTCTGCTGAGTTTGTTAGTCAAACTGTTTTTTGCTGAGAGTCTTTGTGTGAGGGAAGATCGTGTTAATCTTTACGCGACACTCATGTGAGAGCGTCACATGAATGAGTTATTGCATTGCGTCTGAGCGAAACTGATTCTAAAGAAAACAAAGAGTGACGCTCAGAGGGAGTCGTGTCTGCATATGCGATATGCGCGTGATATACACGGACCAAGGAACAAGGTCAAGTCTCTAGCTCCTATATCTTCTGAGATCGACGCGTTCATACGTACGAACGGACGGACAGACAGACGGACAGGGCCAAATCGACTCAGCTCGTCACCCTGATCAAGAGTATATATACTTTGTGGGGTCTGCCTTGCCTCCTTCTGCCTGTTACATACATTTCGACAAAACCATTATACCCTGATTTCCCATTAAAAATAGGCTCAGGGTATAAAAAGCGAACGTTAACTTTATTTATTTTATTTCTTTACTATCTTTATTTCTTTTTTTTTAACTTACATTACATTCCTATTACTACTGTGAAAATTATGAATGAATCTATTTTGAAGTTGCTTTGTTGTTTTTTCGCTTTATATAAATACTAGTTGACCCGGCGAGCTTCGTACCGCCTAACAGTCGCTATATATATGTATAAAACAAAGTCGGGTTTGTTACAACACTTATAACTCGAGACCTGCTGGACCCATTTTCATGTTTTTTTTTTTTTGATTTGTTGGATATGAGTCCGCCCCGAATAGCAGAATATATCTTAAAATACTGAAAAATTGACGATTACTTGAAAAATGCGTTATTTTCCCTAAAAGTTCTTTAATTTCGGAGCTGTCCAATAAGTAATGTCGTGTTACCTTGAAGCTGAAGTAATTTTGGCTTTGATGAACGTAATACAACAGTTCAAAAGAATATTAATATAGATATAAATATAAAAGTATTTTATTATGACGAATGATGATGAAAACATACAAAATGAGAATAAAAATTTGAAAAAAAAGAAATAATTAAGTTTTCCAAACATAAATAAATCAAGTTGAAAACTGTTTGGTGATAAACAGTAACGTAATATTGTATTCGATTGCCTATTATTTGGCTTACCTTTCATACTAATAAAACACGTATGTATTTTATTAATCACGTTCAGGTATTAATAAAATGTGCATCAATAATTGTTTTACATGAGAGCATGACCGAAAACTGTCACTGTTATCAAGCCTACTAAGTAAATTCTCAATGACAATGCAAAGATCCTCAAAAGCAATAGGGAAAACAACGCATTTTTCAAGTATTCGTCAATTTTTCAGTATTTTAAGATATATTCTGCTATTCGGGGCAGAGACAAATCCAACAAATCAAAAATCATGAAAATTGGTCCAGCAGATCTCGAGTTATAAGTATTTGAACAAACCCGTCTTTGTTTGATATATACATATAGATATAACAGTTATAAGTGATTCCTTCTGCCCGTTACATAATTTTTACAAAACCATTATACTCTGATTTCCCATTTTCAATGGGTCCGGGGGTGTTAAAAAAAAAACAAGTAGGAAAGATCTAGTCGAGACTGCTCGACTACGAGATCCCCTGAACCCTTCGAGCAACTAATATTTCAATAATTATTCGCATATGCACATACACAGACATACGTACGCACGTATGGGCTTTGTTAAATGTATGTAACAGGCAGAATGAGGCGTGGCAGACCACATCAAGTATATATATTCTTGATCAGGGCGACGAGCTGAGTTGATTTGGCCCTGTCCGTCTGTCTGTCCGTCTGTCCGTGTGTATGAACGCGTCGATTTCAGAAGATATAAGAGCTGGAGACTTCAAATTTTTTTTCAAAATGTCCGTAATTACAGCGCGCATATCAAGTTTATCATTAAAAATCGATAACTCATCCCGATCTCTTTTTTTTTTGGTAAAAAACCTTATCGAAAACCAGTTATAAAATTATATCTTCTACACCTTTATTGCTAGAGTCTCCAAATTTTTAATGTATGCTTATATGCAATTTATACAATTTGGGTTTTTGTTAAAATTTACCCCCCACCCTTAAATTCACCCCCTCTCCCTCACTTTTTTAAAAAGCGTATTTAAAATACTAAAGACTTGTGCTTTGGCAATTACATGCATATCCATGTTATAATCATAATCTAAAAGTTTCATGAAGATCGTACGTCCACAAAAAAAGTTATTAAACAATTAAGTTCTCATAGTAAGCTCACACTGCAGCCCATGCGTGTTTATGCGTGGGTGCTTGTGTGTGTATGTGTGTGTGTGTATGCGTTTATGTGTGTATGCGTTTATTTATGTATGCGTGTGTGTGTGGGTATGAGTGTGTATGTGTGTGTGTATGTATGCCTGTGTGTGCATGTATGCAGTCTCGACTATAGCTTTCTTACTTGTTTTTACCTAAAGTTTTCTATATTTTTTTAGTTAGGCCGAGTTCCGAGCATCGGCTTATATACACATGTTAAGGAAGATGTCCTCTTTGATATTAAAAAAAATTTTGCTTCCCCTAGATTTCCCTGTGGGTTTCTATAGCAAAAAACTAACCCCAAATCGCCATTAAAACGCACAAAATGTACTAAAAAAGGTCACATTTGTCTGTAGCTGCTTGCAAAGCGAAAACTTTGGGTTTTTGGTAAATTTTTTGTTTATACCCCGAACCCATTGAAAATGGGAAATCAGGGTATAATGGTTTTGTGAAAAGTATGTAACAGGCAGAAGGAATCATCGCAGATCCCATAAAGTATATATATTCTTGATCAGGACGACGAGCTGAGTCGATATAGCCCTGTCCGTCCGTCCGTCCGTCCGTCCGTATGAGCAAAAGGATGTCAGAAGATATAAGAGCTAGAGAGCTGATATTTGGCATGCATACTCGTGTATACCATAGGCAGTACGAGTTTGCTTTATTTTTTCGATAACTCATCCGATAACTTTTTTATCGAGAATAATCGAAAAATCGACTTGGTTTTTTCAGCCTAGTTTGAACACTTTTAAACCTGGAGATTTCAAATTTGCGTTGTATATAGAGTTAATGGACACAAAGATTTTGTAATTTACAGATTTTGGATACCACGCTCCCTTCGCCCCCAATTTGTAAAAAACGCATTTCAAATACTAGAGACTTGTGCTTTGGAATGTACACACATTTTAACCATATGATTACGCTCTGAAAGATTGTATGTCTAGAAAAGAAATTATTCAACAAATAAATTCTCATAATATTGCCCACATTGCAGCGCAGCCCAAGCGCAGCTGGACTGACAGACGGACAGGCCAAATCGACTCAGCTCGTCACCCTGATCAAGAATATATATACTTTGTGCGGTCTACCACGCCTCCTTCTGTCTGTTACATACATTTCAACAAAACCATTATACCCTGATTTCCCATTTTGCGGTTTCCCATTGGATGCGGCATGGGTGTAGGTAGCAATATCTTACTACGGCATTTGCAAGCTTCCATATTTGACATCGCGCATGAACGCATAGGATTATAACACCTTGTTTAAAACTGCTGTTCCGCATTTCTAAAACCTGTCTGAAAACCGGCATTAGATTTTCCAGCATGATAATGCTCAAATTCAGACCGACCGATCCGTGAAGTCCTGAATTCAGGGCCAAAAAGTTGATTTCATGGAGTGGCCACCATAGTCACCCGACCTTACTATAATTGAAAACGTCTGGGGATGGTTGGTCAGGAAAGTATATGAGTCCAGAAAGCAGTATAGTACAGAGACAGAGTTAATCGAAGGTATTAAACACGCTTGGTCAACCATATCCCTCCTAAGGCGGCACTACGCACTACTAATATTACTTCAAAATAAGAATAGCTGAATACACAGGTGTTATTTTTGGTCATCAACTTAAATAAATTGAATTTATCGCAGGGGGCGCTGATTAAATTAAAGATGGAACTCTGATGGTTTAGATTTTTTTTTTTAGCATTGAAGTTGAGTGTAAAGGGGGCGTTAACCTGATCACGCGCAGTGTACGTGCGTGTGGATGCGTGTGTATGCATGTGTGCAAAAAAGTAGTGCAGAATGATTAGAATATCAGCTTGAAGGGCTCGGGGTATCTATATAAACATAAACGTTAAATATCTATATCTATATATGTATATGTATATAGGCATCAGCACCTTTAATTACTAAAAGCAAGCTCTTAATTTTATGTTTAACGTAGTGCCAAGGGTCGACTGCACGAGCTTATGCAAAACGATCGGGAGTTTACACAAGAGGATCGTGAGCTGATTAATCCATGCAATAGCAAATCCATAACACAGGCTATGGACTTTGTTAAGAACCCTGTGGACTGCTGTCACCATGTGCATTTGCTGATAAGAGAATTGCTGCACATAATCAGCATCAAGAAGGATGATCCGAAGACAAAGGATGCCATTCTCTATCATGGTGAAACTTGGGACTTAATGCGCTGTCGCTGGGAGAAGATAGAGAAGGACTTTAGTACCAAATCAAAACTATTTGATATTTCAAAAATTCCAGATATTTACGATTGCATCAAATATGATTTGCAGCATAATCAACATACACTGCAATACGATCAGGCCGAGGAGCTATATATCTATGCTAAGAATCTGGCGGACATTGTCATACCGCAGGAATACGGATTGACTCCCCAAGAGAAATTGGCTATTGGCCAGGGCATTTGCTCGCCGTTGCTGCGCAAGATCAAAGGCGACCTGCAGCGCAATATTGACGAGATCGAGGATGAGTTCATGAATCGTTTGAATCCCCATTATAGTCACGGTGTCGCCAGCCCTCAGCGTCATGTGCGTACCCGCCTCTATTTCACAAGTGAATCGCATGTCCATTCCCTGCTAACGGTATTGCGTTACGGCGGATTGTTAAACGTTGTTACGGACGAGCAATGGCGACGTGCTATGGATTATATATCGATGGTATCGGAGCTCAATTATATGTCACAAATAGTTATAATGCTGTATGAGGATCCGACCAAAGATCCCACATCTGAGGAGCGCTTTCATGTTGAGCTTCACTTTAGTCCGGGCGTCAATTGCTGTGTGCAAAAGAATTTGCCGCCGGGTCCTGGTTTTCGTCCACATTCGCATGGTGACAACTCCTGCAGCGTGAGCGTGCAGTCTAACGAGGACTCGAATCCTTCACGCATCGAGGAAGAAAACGATTCAGTTTCTGGAGATGAACAACACGGCAAGAAGCGCACCGTATGAAACTCCATAAATATTACAAGCAAAACAGTTGATTCTCATAGCTAAACTCTTTCAAAACAATTTCAGTGTCCGCTACGCAGCTCTACAAATTCCTTTGGCTTTAATCGACTGGAATTGCGTTCCAAACAGGGCAAGTCTAAGCCCATTCCGATTGGCGCCCATCATACAGTAAGCGGTCATGAGGCAATGGATCTGGCCAAGCGACTAAATGAGGAGCTTGCTTCGCAGCATCAACAGCAGCTGCAGATCCAACATCAACACCATCATCAGCAGCAATTGCGACCTATTAGTCCCGATATACGAGCTGTGAGTCCAGACTGTGAGCCGCGGTCACGCAGCTTTGATCAGCGTGGATCGCCGTCGGCTAATCGTGACAAGGAGGCGGGTATGTATGTGGGCGGTACGTGCGTTGCAATATAATATCAAAATGTGTTCGCCACTGCCAAATTGCCCGGCTATATTTTCCATTTCGATTTGAAACTTAATTTAATTTCAATATTCGTTACTGCTTTTGTAGTTCTTTTTATTATTGATTTTATTTTTAAAATTAATTTTTGTAAATTTAATTTTCTAAATTTAGTTTAAATTCATTTTCTATTGGTTCTGTTAACATACTGACTAAATCAATTGGGTATCAACTAATATGTCCACGTTATTCGTCCTCTCAGGTGGTTGATCAAACTTTCAATTAATATGTTGACTATATTTTTAATTTGTTGCTCTCCTTTGCATGCCAGTTGTGTGCGTATTTTAAAAAACTCAGTTTTCTAACTTTCGCAATCTCCCGTAAAAAAAATAAATAAAACAAGTATGAAGGTTCTAGTCGAGACTGCTCGACTAGGAGATACCCTGAACCCTCTAAGCTGATATTCTAAACATTCTGCACTTCTTTTATGCACACATACATACACATGCATCGACACGCACGCATAAGCCTGCGCTCTGCTAACTGCGCAGTAAGCAGGACAGCGCTTGGGCTGCACTGCGGTATGGACAATATTTTGAGAATTTATTTGTTGAATAATTTCTTTTGTAGATAGATAGATTATGAAACTTTAAGAGCGAAATTATATGGTTAGAATGTGTGTACATTCCAAAGCATATGTCTCTATTACTTGAAATACGGTTTTCACAAATTGGGGGCGAATGGGGCGTGGTTTCAAAAATCTGTAAATTACAAAATCTTATTATATATATAATTAACTGTATATACACAGTAGATCTGAAGTCCCCAGGTCTAAAAGTTTTCAAATTAGGCTGAAAAAACAAAATCAATTCTCGATTTTTCTCCATAAAAACGTTATCGGACGAGTTATTGAAAAATATGAAAATTTTGTGCTGCGTATGGTATACACGAGTCTACATGCAAAATTTCAGCTCTCTAGTTCGTGTAACTTCTGAGATCTAGACGTTCAGACGTCGGAGGGACAGACAGACAGGGCTACATCGACGAAGCTCATCGCCCTGATCAAGAATATATATACTTAATGGGGTCTGCGATGACTCCTTCTGCCTGTTACATACTATTCACAAAACCATTATACCCTGATTTCCCATTTTCAATGGGTTCAGGGTATAAAATGAAACAGCTAAATGTAATTTGTGCCTTACAATAATAACAAGTAAGAAAGCTCTAGTCGAGACTACTCGACTACGAGATCCCCTGCACCCTTGGAGTAATAGCTATATCAATAATTTTTCGCGTCTTTCAGCTTACACAAGAAACACACACACACACACACACACACACACGCACGCACGCACGCACACACAGTCATACATACACACACATACATACACACACATACACACACACACACATACACACACACACATACACAAACATTTACATACATATACACACACAAGCATAAACACGCATGGGCGGCAGTGAGCGCTTACTATGAGAACTTAATTGCTTAATAACTTTTTTTGTGGACGTACGATCTTCATGAAACTTTTAGATTATGATTATAATATGTATATGCATGTAATTGCCAAAGCAAAGCACAAGTCTCTAGTATTCGAAATACGCCTTTTACAAATATGTGGGTGAGGGGGTGGATATAGGGGTGGGGGGTAAATTTTAACAAAAACCCAAATTGTATAAATTGCATATAAGCATACATTAAAAATTTGGAGACTCTAGCAATAAAGGTGTAGAAGATATAATTTTATAACTGGTTTTCGATAAGGTTTTTTACCAAAAAAAAAAAGAGATCGGGATGAGTTACCGATTTTTAATGATAAACTTGATATGCGCGCTGTAATTACGGACATTTAAAAAAAAAATTGAAGTCTCTAGCTCTTATATTTTCTGAAATCGACGCGTTCATACATACGGACAGACGGACAGGGCCAAATCAACTCAGCTCGTCGCCCTGATCAAGAATATATGTATTTTGTGGGGTCTGCCACGCCTCCTTCTGCCTGTTACATACATTTCAACAAAACCATTATACCCTGATTTCCCATTGAAAATCAGTTTTAAAATTATATCCTACATATTTAAAGCTAGAGTCTCCTAATTTTCAATATATACTTATATGCAGTTTATACAATTTCGGGCTATGTTAAAATTTAAATGCATGCATATCTATGTTATAATCATAATCCGAAAATCTCATGAGAAAAGTAGATTCACAAGAAAAGGTATTAAACAATGAAGTTCTCATAGTAAGCACACACTGCAGCCTATGCGTGTTTATGTGTGGGTCAGTGTTGCCAACTTTTGTTGAGCAAAAAAGCTGTTTTAGTGGGAAGATACTTAAAAAAAAAAAACTGAAATTTTGTGAAAAAAGTCGGACAAAAAAGCTGATGGTTTTTGCTTTACTTTGATTGATATTTACTTATATTTTTAGTAACTAGAAGTCATGGCAGCATTTCTTAAAGCGTGGCAAGCCGTATCTGTAAAGTTTTACACTATATAGGTTTTACCTGACGCTTAAAATTGAGTAAGCATATCAATATTCATTTTATTGCGTAGTTATGTTTTTACAGCATTGACCTGACTAAGACTTCTTACCACGTGCGTGTTCGACCATGGCAAGGAAAGTAATGCCATTGCAAAAGTGGCCAAGTCCCTACATTTTTTATTTCCTCCCGAATACTTATCAGCACACCTCCCACCCTAAACTATGTAGAGTCTTAAGAATTTCCCCACTGAATTGGGTGAATATTCTTATATTGATGTTCAATACTTTCAATGTTCTTTGAATAGAATAACTCTAGTATTGGAACGATACTATTTTTGTTTACTCGCAATATATATACATATGCCTTAAAACAAATCAACATTCTTCATTATTTGAAAATTTGCCGGAAACCTATTAATTAAAACATATTTAGTGAACACATACATTTTTGTACTACATGTTATCAAATGAGTTGCATACATACTTTTTAATTGCTTTATAAGCTCCGTTAGAGAATTTTTACTTTTTATTATACCCTGAACCCATTTTCAATGGGAAATCAGGGTATAATGGTTTTGTTAAAAGTATGTAACAGGCAGAAGGAGGCGTGGCAGATTATATATTCTTGATCAGGGCGACGAGCTGAGTTGATTTGGCTCTGTCCGTCTGTCTGTCCGTCCGTCCGTCCGTATGTATGAACGCGTCGATCTCAGAAGATATAAGAGCTAGAGACTTGAAATTTTTTCCCTAGGTCCGTGTATATCACGCGCATATCAAGTTTTTCTTTATATATCGATAACTACTCCCGATATTTTATTATCGATCACAAACCTTATCGAAAGCTAGTTATTTAATTATATCTCCTACACCTTTAGAGCTAGAGCTTCCAAATTTTAAATGTAGACTTATATGTCTTTTATGTAATTTCGGTTTTTATCAAAATTTACCCCCCACCCCTATATCCACCCCCTCAACCTCACCTTCGTAAAAGCCGTATTTCAAGTACTAGAGACGTGTGCTTTGGAATGTACATACATTTTCACCATATGATTATGCTCTCTTTATTAAGATTGTACGTCTAGAAATTAAATTATTCAACAAATAAATTCTTATAATGTTGCCCACACTGCAGCGCAGCACAAGCGCAGTCGCTGCTTACTGCGCAGTTAGCAGAGCGCGTTCTAATACGTGCGTGTGTATGTATGTGTGTCGAAATTAGAGGGTTCAGGGTATCTCCTAGTCGAGCAGTCTCGACTAGTCTTCTTACTTATTTACATACATAGAATCAAGAAGTTCGATTGCTCACAATAAGTTGTATAGAATACAATATAAATCATATTTTAATTTAGTTAGTTCCACTCTATTATTGATTGGATCATTCATATAAAATTGACCTAATGAACTATTTTGTTTTAATTGAACTGCAATGACATCGCTACAAATTATGATAAATTGATCAGTAAAGAAACAAGTAAGAAAGCTCTAGTCGAGACTACTCGACTACGAGATTCCCTGAACCCTTGGAGTAATAGCTATTTCAATAATTTTTCGCGTCTTTCAGCTTACACAAGAAACACACACACACACACACACGCACGCACGCACACACAGGCATACATACACACCCACATACACAAACAATTACATACATATACACACACAAGCACTCACCCATAAACACGCATGGGCGGCAGTGAGCGCTTACTATGAAAACTTAATTGCTTAATAACTTTTTTGTGGACATACGATCTTCATGAAACTTTCAGATTATGATTATAACATGGATATGCATGTAATTGCCAAAGCACAAGTCTCTAGTATTTGAAATACGCCTTTTACAAATATGTGGGTGAGGGGGTGAATTTAAGGGTGGGGTGTAAATTTTAACAAAAACCCAAATTGTATAAATTGCATATAAGCATACATTAAAAATTTGGAGACTCTAGCAATAAAGGTGTAGAAGATATAATTTTATAACTGGTTTTCGATAAGGTTTGATTTTTAATGATAAACTCTCTAGCTCTTATATCTTCTGAAATCGACGCGTTTATACATACGGACAGACGGACAGACAGACGGACAGGGCCAAATCAACTCAGCTCGTCGCCCTGATCAAGAATATATATACTTTGTGGGGTCTGCCACGCCTCCTTCTGCCTGTTACATACATTTCAACAAAACCATTATACCCTGATTTCCCATTGAAAATGGGTTCAGGGTATAAAAAACACATATACACACACATACATACACACACACACACATACACACACACCTACTCGCGTATTGAAAATGGGAAATCAGGGTATAATGGTTTTGTTAAAAGTATGTAACAGGCAGAAGGAGGCGTGGCAGATTATATATTCTTGATCAGGGCGACGAGCTGAGTTGATTTGGCCCTGTCCGTCTGTCTGTCCATCCGTCTGTCCGTATGTATGAACGCGTCGATTTCAGAAGATATAAGAGCTAGAGACTTCAAATTTTT